GGGCAATGAGCATTCTTACATCTAATCCACCAGGGGCTGACTAACTTCATCCCTAATTAAAAAAGGAAAAAAGATGGTAGCATGAAAGTCACATTCACTTCCCATGATGGCAGCTAAGGGGAACACAGCAGATCGTGGGTGCATTTAGCATCCTACACAAGGGCTGTCTCTCTCTCTCTCTCTCTCACACACACACACACACACACACACACACACACACACACCTCTATCATGGCATCTATTTCTGGATTATATTTAATCAAATCAATGTTAATTTTGATTTTTTCCCATAATTTTGTAGGGCTATTTCAACCCTCTTTGGAAAATTCACAAAGATGAGACACTTAGGATTTGGTCCTTGAAGCTGTCATGGGTGCTACTGTTGACTTCTGCTTTGAGAAATGCCTCATTTGTGAAACACTGCCTTCAGGCCTGACATGGCCATTGCACTGGTGAACACACCACAGCTGTGGCTGGTGCAAGGCTGGGCGGCTGGGCGGGCCAGCATTCCCGCACAGACAGAAGACAGGCACGGGAGGCCCCGCCCTGCCTTAAGGAGCAGTCGGTAGTGAATGGTGGCTGGGGGGGGGTGCCATTTTCCTCAGTAACAACGTAGCCGCCAGTAAAGTACCCAATAAATGACCCCCACACCATGCCCACAGGAAGAACTCCAGTGGGTCACAAAAACCCAAACAGCAAATAGACATAAAGGAGTGGGGTTCTGTTAGGAGGAAGGGTTGGTGGGAGGTAAAAATGACCAAAATACATACGCGCGTGTGAAGTTATCAAGGAGGAAAAAGAAATTAAATTTTAAAAAATGGAGAGGGGAGGAGGGAGGAATGAAAGAAAGAAGGTCTCGTCCCATCAGGACAGAGGATGCCAGCTCAGCTGGCACAATGCCTTGCAGTTGTCATCTGAAGCTCAGGGGTTTATTACAGTGGGGGAGGTGCCCGCCAGTGGGCACGAGGTGCACTAGCAGAGGTCAGAAAGCAACTTCCAGGAGTCGGTTCTCTTTCCTTTATCTAGGGCTCAGGGATGGGACTCAGGTTGTCAGGCTTGGTGGCAAGCTTTTACCCACCAAGGCATCCTGCCACTGCTGGGTGGCTTAAGATTCTGACTTGGCTTTTTGATGGTGTGAACAAAATAAAATGAACTGATTAAAAAAAATCTCGAATTTTCCTTTGGGTGTGAGTAGATTAAAAAGATTATTATGCCTATAATTATATAAATACTACTATTAAAAATACCTATGCCAACTTCTAATTAAGAGAAACAGCTACATGTTATCACCTCTCTCTCTTGAATCCCTGCCCACACCACCACACAAAAAGCCATAAATCAAGTAAGAAACAACCCAAGAGACACAGAGGTAGCAACACTTTCTTAGGAGATGGAAACTGGGCAGAGGAGCAGGGACAGGATGGGGAAGCAGCAGCTGGTGAGGGCCCTGGCAGAGAGGTCTCTGCTCCAAGCCTCAGGCTGCAGGTGGGGAGCGGGACTCTCGGCCACAGAGCAAGGTAGGGAGGACACAGGGGTGCACAGGGGGGTCTAGCAGTGGGTGACCCGGGGCCTCCTGAGACCCTGTACAGGAGCTTCTCTCAGAGTAGGTTTCGAGCGACATCATGCTTACCAGCGACAGATTCACACTTTTTTATGATAAAATTTACCGCCCTCACCATTTGGAAGTGTACAGGTCCCCTTTGGTATGTGAATTCACCCTGTGCAGCCATCATCCTCCCAAGATTAAATGCTGTTGCCACTGAACACTATTCCCCCTTGTCTGTCCCTGCATCCCCAGCCTTGGCAATCATGGTTCTATGCTCTAGATTTGCGAATGTGAGAACTCTAGATACCTCGTGTAAGGGGTCCCACAATTACCTGCTGCCTGTGACACCTGCCTTATTTCACCAATGTCATTTCTTCCAGGTTCTCCTCTACTTTGGCATGTTTTTCAGAACTGCCTCCCTTGCACAGGCTAGGTAATCACCCATCCCACCAATGGCTTAGCCTGTGTTTATGTATTCATCTGTCGCGGAACATTCGATTGCGCCTACCTGTCCGATACCCTGAATAATGCCGTGTGAACTTGGGTGTGTCCATAGCTTCATGCTGCTGTTTTCTAGTGACTCATGAATGAACAGATAACAGAGGGTCAGAGGTCATTTTAGAACAACTTTACAGCCTTGTGCACAGAAACCAACATATAAGAAGAAGGAAGGGCTCTTGAAAATTACAAACAAAATACCATAAGTAAAATGTTAGGTGGGTTGGAAAATAAAGCCATGGAGCTCTTCAGGTAAATAGCATAAAAAGATAGATCAGGGTTAGGGTACAGCTCAGCTGGGAGAGCGCTTGACTAGTATGCCTGGGCTCATTCCCCCAGCATTATGTAAGCCAGGTGTGGTGGCTCAAACGTGCAGCCCCAGCTCTTTGATGGCAGGGGTAGGAAGAGCAGATGTTTAAGGTCAGGCTGAGTTACACAGCTGAGTCTGAGGTCAGTCTGGGCTGCAGGAGACACAGTCTTAAACAGTAAGAATTGATGTAGATGTTCCAAGTTAACCGACTTCCCTAGAAAGAGAAAGAAGGGGTTTAATGAAAGAAGCCAAGCCACCCACCATGATGGAGGCAAACCAGGTGCCCTCGCTCTCAACCCCAATCCGTGGGATCAGTGGAGAGGTCTGGGGCACAGGGCTTAGGGTTGATGTGAGTGAGGGACTGAGGCTTCTGACCTGGCATTGGGCCTGTGGCTCACTTATCTGACTGAAAGTCTGCGGTGTGCCAGGCACTGTTCTTTTCTGGGTGCTGGTGACACAGAGGTGATAAAACGAAGTTCCTAGCTGGGTGTGGTGGCACATGCCTACAATCCCAGCACTTGGGAGGCAAAGGCAGGAGGATCTGGAGTTTAAGGTTACAAAGTGACTCTGAGCTCAACCTGGAACACATGAGACCCTACCTCCCCCCTCCTGTTCCTACCCTCATGGAGTGTTCATTCTAAAGGGAAGGGACAATGAACAAAGGTATCATTAGGCAAAACCAGGAGGAGAATGAGCAAGGTGAGAGGGAGGGTGTGACCTGACAGAGCTGAGATCCTGGAGCAGTGACAGCACCAGCCTGGCTGACTGAGCTGGGCTGGGCTCCAAGGGGGAGGGGAGCAGTTGTAAGGACTTTAGAACCAGACCTCACCCAGTTAGTGTGGGGACAAGTGTTCCCTGAGGAGTCCTCATCTCTTCTGGGTCCTCTGGTAGGTGGATTCTTTCCAGAGCTCCCCCAACCCCATAGTTGATTAGTATGTGACTGGGCCTATCAGGTCTCTCTCTTCCCCTATTAAGTGTACTGTTTTTTAATGTGGATTTTCACAAGCCAGCCAGACAGAGAAAGCCCCATCATCTTCATGTATAGATGGAGAAACCAAGGCACCGTCAGGGCCACGGATCACAAGGGTTGCCATGCCCACTCTGAGTCTGCTTCAGGCGTGGGCACTGGGTCCATTCCTTTCTGACTCTTCCACACAGGTAGAAGTGACGCAAACTTTTTTTTTCCTTTAGCACTTGCAACATGTAACTGTCTTGGACTTCACTATATGCAAAGTAGCAGGCAGACGCCGGAACTATTAAAGTCAGACCGCATCAGCTCAGAACAACCAGGGGTGGGCAGGAAACAGGAACTAAAGGCTGGAATCGGGTCCACCTAGATGTTTTGAAGGAATTACGCAATGACTGCTCATTTCCTCCCAGAACATATCGCTTCAGCCTGTCCTTGCAAACAGGAACTTCCTTTTTTTTGCTGCCTTTAGGTCCCAGCTGTGTCCCAGGTACAAAGGAATGTTTGCCTTGCTGGGCAGAGCCCTGTGATGGTGCAAGATTGGAGGGGTGGCGCATGCCAGCCCGAGGAGTCAGCAGCCAAGGCCTGCTGCTCCTGCTGAGCAAGGACAGAAGGGTGGCTCCTGAAGCTGGCTCAAAAGTTGAGACATCTTTCGTTGGACTCTAAAGTCAGGCAACTTCCTGCCAGACTTAAACACTGCCATGTCTATTAGCTTTATGATGGCTCTTACCTTAAATTCCTAAAATTCCCAGAAGAGAGAAGCAGGCCGACATCTTCCATTCACTTGCAATGAATCAGATAAAATGTAAAAATGGAAGGTGAATGGGCAGACAAGTATGCAAATAAGATAAAATGGTAATGGTAGTACCCAGGTATTCCAGGTAGGAGCATTTATTGAAAAAGCCTGTCAGCTTCCTTGGGGTTTTGATAAAACACTAGGGACAGCAGAGAAGGCTTCTCCTGTTGCCTGGGATAACTTCAGGATCCTTGTGAGTGATTCATTCAGCAACCCTCCTTAAGCTTCCTGCCTCTCTGAACACCCAGGACGCTGCCCTCACCTGCATCTTCTCCTCTTTGAACCTGGCTGCCTTGATGTCACTAATTGTTTCCTTGAACTAAATTGTGATCGTCCTGCACGCCGCCCTCCTGAACTTCAGGAAGATGTGGAATGCTGAAGCTTTGTCTTTGTTCCTGACTGTGCTGTTTCTCTCTTGCAGAGACACCAAGGGGCATCAATCCTTTCTCATCAGTCCCCACAGCACCTACTGACACACAAGCATTATGAGGGGCTGGGAACAGACAGGCAGAAAACAACTTGAGTAGCTCCTGCCTACCAGGAACACCACCAGGAGCTGAAGTCAGTGTCCCAAGCAGGCTGTGTGGTGACACATCGGATGCATTGCCACACCTCTACCAGGAGCTCTCTCCATCACCTTAGCTTATTGCTGGCTGGAGCTCCACTGTCTCAAGGCCCTAATCTTCCAAAGCGCTTTAGTTTATTGTTGGTGTGTGTGTGTGTGTGTGTGTGTGTGTGTGTGTGTGTGTGTGTGTGTGTGATTTTGACAGAACATGCCTCTTTTTACTGAAATTTTTTTGCTTTGTTTTTTTGAGACAGGGTTTCTCTGTGTAGCTCTGGCTGTCCTGGAACTTGCTCTGTAGATCAGGCTGGCCTCAAACTCAGAGTCACCTGCCTCTGCCTCCTGAGCGCTGGGATTAAAGGCATGTGCCACCAATGCCCAGCTCAAAAGCAATCGATTTTTAAAAAGAACTTTTGTTAATAGATTGCACTAGAATTCTGGAAATAAGGCTACTTGATAAATATTTACTACACCATTGAAGTCTATTAATTAACATTTTACTTGAAACTTGCACTGATGTTGGTAAGTAAAACTGTTCCTTAGTTTCCCTGTTTTTGTGATGTATCAGACTTTAGTACTAGTGTTATGGTCACTTCATTGGAAGATGCCAGAACTTGCCTTTTCTCTCTGAGCACTGGGAGGAAGTCCTGGGTTATCTGAGCTTTATGGACTGGGAGCAGTCCCCTGGGGGAAGCTCTTCTGTGTTGCTCTTGTGTAGTTGGGCTCAGGCTTCCTTCCTGTTTCTGCTGATATCATTTGAGTAAGTCACATTTTCAAGGGAAGTTCCCTTTACACCTTTTAGATTTGTTCTGTTTTGATAGTTATTTGCCCCATTGTATCTTATTTTGATACATTTATATATCTGTCTTAGTTTTCTTCCTATTGTGACTAAAAACAATGGAGAAAAAGCTTCCTTGGCATTTCCTTTTAGGTCATAGGCCACCATTGAGGGCAGACAAGGTGCAACTCAAGCAGGAACTTGAAGCAGCAACCATGGAGAATGATGATTCCTGGCTCACTCAGATTTATACTTAGGTAGCTACTTTACACAACCCAGGACCACATAGCCAGGGGATGCTGCCACCTACAGTGGGCTGGGCCCAGCTGCACCAGGTAACTATGAAGGGGATCCCCACAAACATGGCCAGAGGCCAGTCTGATCCAGTCCCTGTTGACAGATGACTTTTGGCTATGTTTAGCTGATAATTAAAGCTAACTAGGGTATTCCTTTTCCCCAATTCATTTCAGTTAAGTAGCTCATCCCTCCCCCTTTTCTTGGACAAGTTCCTTGCTTAACAAAGTCTTCTGTTTCTATTCACTAAGCAGTTTCTACTCTCGCATTTGTTAATCCCATCTAATTTTAGCTTATTTTGTTATTTTCTTCTGAGAGTTCTGAGTTTAATGTCAGGTTCATTGTTTCACTTTATTTATTTTTATTTTGCTCACATAGATATTTACGATATGAGTCCTCCTAAGCATTATTCCAACTACACTCCATAGACCATGACATCTAATGGCTTTACTACTGCTATTTTCCCAGAATTCTGTATCTTATGCCTATTTATTTTCTTGATCCAAAAATTGTTTTGAGTTTTCATATTTCTGGGATATAAAGTGCTATAGTTTGTGTGTATCCCCTCAAAACCATACACTAAGACCTTAGGTAACGGTAGTGCAAGGCTTGTGTAGCTCGGTGGTCCAGCACGTGTAGAGCAGTCTGGAGGTACCAGCACTGGGACTAAGAAGAACAATATTAACAGCAGGAGCAGCAGCAACACCCCTCATATGTATATATAAATATTCATCCTTTGGGAAGCCACTATGTATCAGGGCAAAGACTCCTAAAATGAGATTAAAATAAGCCCCACAGAGCTGTCATGACCAGGAGAACACAAAAAGCTCTCCCCATTACTAAACACGCTCCCTTAATTATAGGCTTTCAAGCTGCTAGCACCATAATACATAAATTTCTGTTATTTATAAACCACCCAGTTTATGGGATTTTTGTTACAATGACTCAACAGATGAAGACAAAGGGTCTTTAAAAATGAATTAATAACCTAATAAATGCTTTGAACCTTGAGGTAAATAGACTTGGTTTTTTTTTTTTTTTTTGGTTTTGGTTTTTCAAGACGGGGTTTCTCTGTATTGTTTTGGAGGCTGTCCTAGAACTCACTTGGTAGACCAGGCTGGCCTTGAACTCACAGAGATAGGCCTGCCTATGCCTCCCAAGTGCTGGGATTAAGGACATGTGCGACCACACTTAAGAATGTGAATTTTAAAGGAAACTTTTTTCTAGGTGTCAAGACAGGGGGAGCTGTGTGACTTGCACCCAGGTCTGTAGGGCAACAGGCCTGTCTCCCCTCCCCTCTCGTTCTATGAGCTCAGAAACAGGACTGACTGCATTCTTCCTGATTCTTTAGGTAACTACTTTGCTCTTGCTGATGTGTCTTCTTCTTCTTCTTCTTCTTCTTCTTCTTCTTCTTCTTCTTCTTCTTCTTCTTATTATTATTATTATTATTATTATTATTATTATTATTATTTCTCCTTCTCCTTCTTCCTCTTATTATTATTATTTATTAATGTTTTAAATTTATTATGTACATAGCGTTCTGCCAGTATGTATGCCTGCATGCCAGGCAGGCTAGAAGAGGGTACCAGATCTTCTTACAGATAGCTGTGAGCCACCAAGTGGTTGCTGGGAATTGAACCCAGAGACTCTGGAAGAGCAGCCAGTGCTCTTAACCATTGAGCCATCTCTCCAGCCCCTCCTCCTCCTCCTTCTCTCCTTCCTCCTCCTCCTTCTTTTAGGTTTTAAAACAAATATTGTAAAACAACACAGACGTTCCCTTTTAGCTGTGCTTAAGCACATGTTCAGTCATGTTGCCGGTACAGACACTGTTATACATCAAGACTCTTAATTTCAGTCTTATTCACTTCTACTTTTACTCCAAAAAATGCTGTTTGATTTCTACTTTCCAAAATTGTTTGAATGTTTTTGCTGTTGCTGTTGTTTTTGAAACAAAGCCTCATCCTCTATCCCTGACTGGCCTGTAAATCACTCCATAGCCTAGGATGGACATGAACTCTGCACAATTCCTCTGCCTTGACCTACACTAGAATGCAGGCATGAGCTACTATGCCCTTCCTGAAAGTTATTTTGTTTATTAGTATAATAACCAACTTAACATAAAGCTCACATAGCATAAGTGGGTCACAGACACTTGAAATCAAGGTATAGCTGTATTGTTCAGATTCGGAGTCCAACACTTACAAATCTCTTTGTTGACTGTTTATTTAGACCATACATAGTCTTACTTCACTTGGCCTGTATAAGTAATAGTGAAGTACATCAAATCTCCTCATATTTAAATCTTAACTTGTTTAATAGTATGTGTGTGTGTGTGTGTGTGTGTGTGAGAGAGAGAGAGAGAGAGAGAGAGAGAGAGAGAGAGAGAGATGTGTATGTGTCTTTAAATGCACAGATACAGATGGAAGTCAGAGGATACCTCTTTAGAATCTGTTCTTGTTCTTTTTTTCCCACGTTTATGTTGGTTCTGGGGATTGAACTCAAGTTGTTCAATCTACAAGAGCTTTACCCACTGAGCCATCTCCTGGCCCTCAAATTGCCAATTATCAGTGTGAATCAACTTCTCTCATCTCCTGCAGTCTCTACTTCAGGAAAGCTGCTACTGGGTTATTTAGAGCAGACAGCTAACACTGCACATCTCAATTAATTTTAAATGTGTATCTGCACTACACGGCCATTTTCCTTTTAAAGATATACTCTCATGTCTGTTTGCATAAATGATGTATGTATAGGTATGTATACAAGCATGCCAGTGTCTGCAGAGACCAGAACAAAGAGGTAGATCCTCTGGAACTCAGTTATAGACAGTTGTGAGCTGCCCCGCATAGGTGCTGGGAAGTGAACTTGGGTCTTTTGCGAGAGCAGCAAGTGTAGTTGACCACTGAGCCATCCCCTCAACAGGGTTAGGGTTTGGCTTTTACGACTAGTGCAAGCATCCTCATATTTTATCTCTGTTGTTAGATGCTGGAGGTTGAAGTCAAGGCCTCACACAGTGTAAACACATCCTCCATCCTCTAAGGATGCCAGGTCTAAGAACATTTAGTTGTTCCTGGTAATGAAGCCTGCTGGGAAGAAGAAGGGCAGGGTCAGAGGAGTCGCCAGCTAGACGAAGAGGGAGCAGGACATATACAAGATGAGGCAAGAAACCATGAGCCACAGTCAGCACATAGTTTAACAGAAATAGGCTGATTTAAATTTTAAGAGTTAGCTAGTAAGAAGGCTGAACTATTGGCTGAGCATCTATAATTAATATTAAGTCTCTGGGTCAGTTATTTGGGAACTGTCAGGCAGGAAAGAAGAGTCTGCTCACACTAGTGTAGATGCTATTTGTTGGTTTCACAACTGAGAAAGTTCTAGAATTAATGTTCAGGGATGGAGTCCCCTCTTAGTTCCAAGATGGCTTCTTGGGACTGTACATGGTGACACAGTGCATGGAATAAAAACAAAGGTCTTAAGTCTGGCATGGTGGCGCACGCCCGTACCCAACACTTGGGAAACAAAGGCAGGCGAATGAATCTCTGTGAGTTTGAGGTCTGCCTGGTCTACAGAGCGAGTTCCAGAACAGTCAGGACTACACAGAGAAACCATGTCTTGAAAAACAAAAACAAACAGCAATAAAAAAAAAGTCTTAGCTAGGGAGAATTTTTTATTTTATGTAGCTTTCATCTCTTTCCACATTAGAAAAAGAAAACAAATGAAGAGTTGGGTAAAATGAAATATAAACCATTTAGAAATACAGAAATGAAGTGTATAAGTCAGCAAGCACCCTGTCTATTAATTTGATAACTAGTAGTTTTCTTTTGTAGATTAACCCTTGGGCTACACATAAACACATTTAAAAGGGGCTATGCTGTTTAAGCTTCTACGGGAATCTTTACTTAGCAGTTTAGAATCTTCTAAAATTAGTTAAAGTGAAAAGAAATAATTGGTGTGAAAATGCAAGGGTTAGCTGTGTGGGAAAATGTCTAATTGAGGGTTTAAGTTTCTTATCGCTGCAGAAGAATAAATATTTTGAAGAGTAACACTGAAGGTGGCATTTTAAGAGAAATTAAATGGTTACTAGAAGCCACAGGAAAGAGTGTGGAAAGGAAGCGATAATAATGGAATAGTAGACAGGTTAACAGTGGATAGAGTCAATTAACAGCAATGATATTATCAACAGCATTGCAACTCACCATAAAGCATCAGGGAAACACTGAAGATCTGAAACTTGACTGTATAAAAATCTAAATTTTCCTACTTGAAAACTTTGTATAAGCTTTAAAAAACAAAGATAAACTCAGGCCAGTGGTGGTGGCACACACCTTTAACCCCAGCATTCTGGAGACAGATCTCTGTGAGTTCCAGAGCAGCCTGGTCTACAGAGTAAAATCCAGAATAGCCAGGCCTACACAACACAGTGTTTCTACACAGATAAATCCTGTCTTTAAAAACAAAACCAGACCAAAATTACATGAAAAAAAGTTCAACAAAAAGTGGCTCAAAACGGCATAGAAACAAGGACCCTGAAGAACAATCTTTCACGCACCAAGTCAATTACATACTAAGAAGTTACCTATCAGGTGCAAGCCTTTGTGCATGTGCGTGCACACACTTTGAAGATGTAGGACCCTTTGGGGTAGTGCTATTTCCCTGCTACTTTTGTGTATGGGAGGACAGCGCATCAAAATGTAAAATGGTAAACTGGTTTCTGGAAGTGGCAGCATCCCATTCCCAGAACTATGGGAAAAATTAAATTGCCCCTATCCTTATATATCAAATGCACACTGAGAAATTTACTCATGGAACACAATAATACAGATATTCAAAGCCATACCCACTGTTCAACAGAATGTCCAAATGTCATAGATAGGGTAAATAAACGTTGGTACATTCATACAAAAGGCCACTGTGATGCTCACTAAATATGGAAGAAATATAGGAAGATACCCAGCAAAGGAAATTGGTGCAGGCACCACTGAAAGCCTTCATCAATACCTCCAGTCCAGCTCTCAGCTCCCTTTCTCTAACGGAAGCCAGACAGCCTTTCTGCTGATGCGGAAACCTCTGCTGCTGTGTGGATTTGCCATGGCCTCCAGAGGCCTGTTAAGGGCTCTACCCACTGGACTGCTACTGGGAGACGGTGGGATCGACCTTTGGACATTGGGGCTTAGCGGCAGGTCTTGGGTCACTGGAGGCATGGCCTCCCAAGGAATTGTGGGACTTTAGTCTCTTCTTTCTCTCTTTCAACGCTGGGTCATGAGTTAACTGCGCCTCCTACCAGGATGAATGGGGCAGCACAGAACTGAAGCAGTAGGTTCAGACTGAAAGTCCTCAGTCTGTGAGCCAGGACACAGTTCCCTCTTTTAAGCCGGTTACCTCAGATGGTTCGTTACAGTCAAGAAAGCTAACTACCACACTCCCATCAGCAATAAAAAGGAGTAGAGCACTAACGCTTGCTATAAAGGTAGATAAGCTTAAAACCATTGTATCGCAAGAAAGAGGCATGCAGACGCAAAAGACTGTATATTACATTGTTATACTTATATAAAATATCCAGATGGCCACATAGACAAAAAGTAGATTCATGATAGGGTGATGGGGACTACTGACTGCTAGCTAGCATATTAGGATGAGTTTTGATTTTTTCTTATGGAGTCTTGAACAGTGTAGAATTAGATAATAGTCATGCTTGTGTAACTCCATGAACATCCTAAAGACCTTCAATTGTACACTTTACTTTAAAGTGAGCTGTGCGATATATGGATTATACCCCAATACATCAATAAAAAGCAAAGCTCTCCCATGTGCTAAAACCCTTCTGGCCCTCTCTGCCCCCAAGTACACTCATTCTTACAGTTAAATGCACCTTCTGTGTCTGTTTCATATGCCTCATCTATGTGCAACAAGCCAACTCTAACTCATTACTCTAGCACCCCAGCAGTGAAAACACAAACTCTTATCCTTTGATTCAGGGGTTATCTTTTGATATCATATGACAGTATAAAAACTAA